CCCCGCCACTGTACTAAAGTCCAGATAGTAGGGGCGGCCCATGAACGACAGCATGTAGAAGGAGAGGCCAGTGGTGGCGACGCCACACAGAAACATCACCAGAGCAGCCACTGCTAGAACACGCCCCGAGGTGCCGCCCTTCAAGCTCAGATTCATCCAGGACTCGGACTTCTGCGAGTAGGTGGTCTCCCCATAGATGCTCTGGATGGGGCTGGAGCACATAGGCGGCACAATGGCGGTGTTCTGCCTCTTCTCCAGCCCCCCCAGCTGCTTGGAGCCGATGGCGTAGTTCAGCTTTTGTTGCGCCCTGGAGCGGGGCGGCAGCCGACAGACTTTCGGGGGGGTCTGGAACGGGTCTTTGCTGATCGGGGAGAGCGGCGGGGATGCCACCATCTGCAGCAGATGAACCGAATGAAAAGGAACCCGAGCTGGGGAAACTGAATGCAAACCTTCTGGGGCGTGCTTCCGCTTCCGCTGCGGGTCTTCTTGGGCGTGCAGAGCAGCTCGTGCAGCTTTTGGGTGGCCACGGGATTGGTGCCCGGTCTGGACGAGTTCGGCTGAGTCGGGTACTTCTGGGGCGTGGACTGTTGCAGGTACTCGTACCTGCTGGGGGATTTGGGGGGCGAGTTGTGCACGTACTCGTACCGGCTTGGTTGGGCTGGACTGTCCTGGATGAACTCGTATCGGTGCTGAGCGGGAACCACGTTGCCCAGCTGCTTCAACGGCACGAGAGCGTACCGCTCACTTTTGCCGGTCAGCTCAGATTCGTCCTCCTGGTCAATCACTGCGTACCTGAAGCAACGTTGAGGGTTCGAATGATTTCGTGCGTCAAAGTGTGTTCAATGAGTGTAAATATGTTGAAAAATTTCATCTGGATGCAACTGAGTGGGTTCAACCGGTACCGCCGAAATGAGAAGGCCATCCGACTGCAAGTAGGCCGAACAGAGTCAAGAAGACGCTAATTTATACAACACGTGCTTGCATTTTGGTGGTGGTTTATTAGGCTTGTAATCGATAAGCTCCAATGTGTGTTTTGAGTGTATTTTTAAAATAAATATTGTAAAAATGCCCTATAAGTGCTGTGTACCCAAGTGCAAAGGAAATTATAGTGGCGAATCAACAGTGAGTGTGTTCAGTTTCCCAAAAGACAATTTTCAGCCCGAAAACAGCCGGAAAACAACAGAATTTGTCTACACCATTTTCGACAAGATAGTATAATATGCATAAGTACTTCCTATAACGAAAAAACCGGTGAAATCCAAAGTTGCAATCAGGTTCGATTCCAACCGTTTTCCCCAATTGTCCTTC